GAACCGCTGACCTTAAGGTTCGCAGCCCGTTTCGTAACCACTACGCTACCAGAGTATTCCATAGGTAGACTTTAAATGCAGGGAATTAATATAGGAGTTCCTTGGTCAAGATCTGTTTAAATAAATGAATAGCCTAGAAATATGTCATATCAAAACTGTGGATTTCGAGTGTTTATACGTGACTGGAATATTAGTACAACTTTAAAACAACATCCTTGTGTACTCATTCTTTGTCTTCATCTTCTGCCTTCTTCCCTTTCTTGTTCTCGTTACATTGGGCTCTGTACCATCACAGAGCATGTCCAGACAAAGAGAGAACCTGCTTCCTTGCTTTGTCCACTGACTGTCCACTATCCACATGGCGACCATCAAAACAATTTGTAATATATCCTGTGGCCTTGGTGCCTAAGGGACTGAAAGGCAGATTAAAAAAAAAAAACAATTTGTTAAGTTCAGTAGTAAATATTTCCAGTCTTTATGTATCTTACCAAATATTATCCCAAGTCTTAGTAGACACAAATAGTTTTCATAATAATAAAATACTCTGTATTAAGATTCCAAAACTTTGTAAATGAGTAATTCTTAATTTTATAAATGATATCTTTCCATTAGTCAAGTGTGCTACTTTGCTTTACATTTGCATTTAAAGCACTTTAGAAGTCTGGAAGAAAGGAAAAAACAGCATAAAGAAGGCATGTATCTGAGTGACACTTTGCCTCGAAAGAAAACCACACCTTCCATATCGCCACATTTCAGCAGCGCTACTATGGGGAGAAGCACCACCCCAAAGGTAGGATATGGGGAAACCCACGGGCTTCAGAGTCATCGAGCCTTCTTGTCCTTATGTTGACTGCAGAGGCCCTTACATTAGGAAAATGTTACATAATAGTTCATTGTATTTGCCTACTATAAAGAAGTCATGCCTAAATTGGATTCTCTATCCTATTCAGAGGCCATTTGATAGCGTACACTCTGGGCCCAGGGTTTGTTCTTCCACTACAACATAGATGGTGGATGGTGTTTCCGGACATGTCAGAGTCCCATTATTGCTTCCCGGATCTAGAAATAAGATGGGATATAGGCTCTGGAATCCAGGAATAGCAAATATGGTTGAGTCATTTATGTGGATTTTCACATTTTAAAAACCAGAAACACTATGCAGTACAGGTACTGTTATCACCAGTGTGTGTATGAATAAACTGAAGTGTAAATAAACAAAGCAACTAGACCAAACGCTCTCAGGTGGTGAGTATCAGATCTAGGGGGTGACCCTACACAATCTGACATTTGTGCCCTCATTCATGTTGTGACATGCCCAAGGGGGTCTTGCAGCACCAGAGAGATTTTGAGCCCTTTATCTGCATTTAATCAGAATAAATTTATTTCAATTTTTATGTATATAAATTGGTGTTTGAATTATATTTTTATTTACACAAAGAGTTTGGCTGTTTACAAAGAATAGTAAAGCCACTGGAATAGCCAATAGGTTGTTCCAGTTTTAAGTTTACTAGATAAATGGAGGTAGATGGAAATTGGTGCATTCGTGACAAGTGTCGATCTTGTCTGTCCTTTTGCATGTTGTGCATGCCTTCTTGTCCTTGCCCTCTGCTCCTTATGCATGAAGAACATTCAGTCACTCTCTGGTGATTTCAGATAGTGTTCTGCTCCCTTCTTCACTTTTGAAATTGCTGCCACTGGAAGAACTGTTATGATATTTAGACTGTGTGAAGCTCCTGGGGAGATACAGCAATTGGTCTTTACCGTTAAACATCAACAAAATGGGATGTGAAGACCTACCTTCTCTGCTCTTTATACAGGAGCAACGGATGCAGGGGTGTGGCCACTGGCCGGCAATGTGCCTAAAGTATTCTCTCCCACTTCTCACAGGCTCACCTGCCCCTAGGACAGAGCAACAGCTGTGGCAGTGTGCTCCCTCACTCGCTGGCTACCATGACCAAAGACTCTGAGTCTCGGAGGATGCTCAGAGGTATGTACCTGTTAAATCATATGTCACAGTCTTTTGTAAAGCATATAAATTTCTCATGGAAAGATAGTAAAGGCAGGTTTGGGAATGGTTAGAGAGGAGATCAACTGTCCTCCTAAATTCTAATTTTAACGTATCTCATTTGGAGAAGGGAGGATGAAAAGAGAGAGAGACTGAGAAAAAGAAAGATCTTTATTGTTGTACCATGGTAATGTTTGTTATACTCATATATGTATACAGTTCATGCACTCTTTAAACATTGTAAATTCAACAGCACTTTCAAACCAGAAAGACTCTAGAGAATTACTAACCTTCCCATTTGATTGGTAGAAAAGAGAAGTTACTGAGATACAGACTACCAAGCCTGTGATTTCTCACTTGGGTTGTGGGTGAGCCAACCTGATGTTCTTATTAGCCTCTGTAGAATTGGCCTCAATTTAAGGGGAACCTAGACACAATAGTATCAGACTGTTGTAATCCATAGGGTTTTCATTGGCCGATTCTTTTGGAAGTAGATCACCAGGCCTTTCTTCCTAGTCTACTGAAACCTGTAAACTCCACTGAAACCTGTTCAGCATTGTAGGGACACACAAGCATTTACTATGTTGATGCATTTGCTAAACAAAGAGTCATTGAGTTAATATACTAAATGGAGCATCAGTGTCTCAGAATTCACTTAGGGTTTTTAGAATGGGTTTCAGCTTTTATATTATGTAGTTGTTAAATTCAGGTAGACTTTAATTCTAAACATATTTTCTTTGTAATACTATGTTTCATTTATAGTGGGGTTCTAAAATAATATTTCTGCGCTGGTCAAAATTACTATCATTTATAGAGATAATCTGTCTTCTTCCGAGTTCAATCATTTATATTGGCCCTGACTTTTGAGTTAACAACCTGCAGTATGCAGATGATACAAACTTGCTTGCTAGAAGTAAAAAGGACTTAAAATACTGATAGAGATCAAAGACTATAGACTTTGGATTACACTGCATTGTAAAGAAAATAAAATACCTCACAACTGGACTAATAAAAAACATCATGAAAAATGGATAAAGGATTAAAGTTGTCCAAGATTTCATTTTGCTTGAATCTAGAATCAACACTCATGGAAGCAGCAATTAAGAACTCAAACCATGTATTATTACATTAGGCAAATCTGCTACAAAAGAGCTGTTTAAAGTGTAGAAAGCAAAGCTATCAGCTTGAAGACTATGGTATGCCTTAACCCAAGTCGTGATATTTTCAGTCGCCTTTATAAGTATGTGAACGTTGGACAATGAATAAGGAAGCTCGTGGAAGAATAGATGCATTTGAATTATGGTGTTGGAGAATATTAAAAGTACCATGGGCTGCCAGAAGAACAAATAAATCTATCTTGGAAGAAGTAAAGCTGGAATACTCCTTAGAAACCATGATAGCAAGACTTTGCCTTTCACATTTTTGACATGTTGTCAGGAGGGATCAGTTCCTGGAAAAAGACATCATGCTTGGTAAAGTGGAAGATAGCAAAAAAGGGGAAGACTGCCAAAGAGATGGATTGCCACAGTGGCAGAAGCAATGGGCTCAAATGTGACAATTGTGAGGATGGGCTCAGGACAACTGAACAGTGTTTCATTTTTGTTGTGCATAGGGTCACTATAAGCTGGAACTGACTTGCCAGGACCTAACAACAATAGCTTGGTGCTAGTCACCAAGAGGTAAATAAATGTCCTGATCTTTGCTCTTGAAATGTTTATAGTCTAATAAGGAATAAAGACAGCTAAACGCAATTTAAAAAAAGTGTTGAGTGCAATAATGAAGGTCTGGTAGCGTAGTGGTTAAGAATTGGGCTGCTAATCTCACGGACAGCAGTTGGAAACTACCAGCTGTTCCACGGGAGAAAGATGAGGCTTTCTGCTCCCCTAAAGATTTACAGCCTTGGAAACCCTGTGCAGGGGTCGCTATGAGTCAGAACTGACTCCACAGCACATAACCACCACCACTACCACCACCACCACTCAGAATGTAACAGGACATTTAGTATCCAAATGCATTCATTCATTGGTAGATGGAAACCCTTTCATCTCCAAACACACTGGAAATCAACAATGACTTGCCAGCTCCTCTGCCAAGGGACAGTCACTGGTTTCCTACTGTGTATGTATATATATATGTTGTTTATGTTGTTAAGTGCTATCAAGTTGATTCTGAATCATAGCTACCTTGTATAGGGTTATCAAGGAGCAGCTGGTGGATTTGAACCTCAGACTTTGTGGTTCAGAGTTCAGATGCTTATCCTATAGCATCACACCAGGAGCCCATATGTAGATAAGAGGGCTTCAAAATTTTGTGGAAAAATGAAAATAAAAGATAATGGAATTTGTCCATGAACTCTTTGAGGCTCCTGTGTGTGTATAAATTTTATATGTTGTTGTTAAGTGCTGTCGAGTTAGTTCCAACTCATAGCAACCCTGTATAGTGTTTTTGAGGAGCTATTGCTAGGTTTCAATTATCAAACTTATGGTTAGCAGTCCAGTGCTTATCCTAGAGCATGACACCAGGACTCTAAATTTTATATATAAATATATGTGTGTGTGTATATATATATATATTAAATTACATCTATAGATGAGGTGAGTCAAAAATTATCCTTATTCTGGCTGTAGAATTTATTTTAACCAACTTTTAAAAAAGAGAAATACATCATTTGTCGACATAATCTCCTTGTTCAAATACACTTTGTCCATCTATCAACAAGCTTTTGGATTCCCTTATTGAAAAATGTTTCAGGCTGAGCTGGGAACCACAAATGCACCTCTGCCTTCACTTCTTCATCAGAGGTGAATCTTTGTCCTGGAAGAGTTGCCTTCAGGGTGAAAGTCTAGTGGAGCAAGGTCAGAACTATAGGAAGGATGCTTTAATACCTCAAAATGAAGTTTTTGCGGAGTGTCAAATGTGTGGGCAAAGGTGTGTGGGCATGCACTGTCATGTCCTCTGCGTTTAAGCCATTTTAGGCTTCAGCTTTTCAGAGGGCCCCTCACTGTAATGAGCACTGTTGATTATTGTACCTTTTTCCTGTTGGTGTTCCAATAACTGGTCCTTGAGAATCCCAGAAAACTGTAAACATCAATTTTCCAGTTGACTTTTGGAACTTTTTCTTGGTCGGTGGTTGAGGATGTTTCCATTCCATACTCTTCCATTTACTCTCTGACTCGTAGTGATGAATCCATGTTTTGTCACCAGTAATTATTTTGTTTTGTTTTTTAGGAAACTTTTACATTTCTTTGAGTATCCGTCCAAATTTTGTTTGCAGACATACAAACAATTTTTTTTTAAGGTTTTTTTGTGGATTGAGTGAAAGTTTACAGGGCATATCATCAGTTTTACATTCAACAAATCATATACCTTGTTTCATTACATTGATTATAATCCCCTCCATGTACCATCAGTCAACAGTATTTTTCTCTATCCACTTTAGCTTTTTTTAAAAAACACACATACAAAAACAAACCTACTCAGGCATATATAATAATTTACATCTCCAAAGGGCACATTCTGCAAGTCTGCTCCTGGCCACCAGTTCTTAGTCCTTCTCTTCTTAGTCCATGAATCTAGAGTCCTCAGCCGCTCCCCGTCTCCATGCCCCCATCTCTGCCTCCTTCTCTGGTGCTGCTGCTTCTCTGGATAAGGTCCCGCACTCTGCTTGTGCGTTCCTCTCTTGATGGTCCTAGGATTCTCTGTTTCTGGACTGTAAGATTAACCACTCCCCTTTTTTTGTTACAAAACTTCTACCTTTACAATTGTGACAGTCGCAATTAGTCATGATAACA